TAGTATACATTTTGTTGGTACATTTTAAAAATTAGGTTTGGCCATCAGCTCTGCTATAATGAGGACCACATTGAGTTTGAGAAGGTACAGAGGTCCATTTGGAACCTGCACACTCCTCTTCCGTTGAATTTCAGAAAGTTCTGTTTTTAGCTGTGCTAGTATGTCAGACCACCAGGGTTTCCCTCTTCCCACAAACCAAGGCGCAAGCGCGATTTTCTCCGACATGCGTAGAATAGGCGGCAGCTGTGCTACGACAAGCCATATTGATTACATTTGATATTTTTCTTTCGAAATGACAATTAAAACTCCATCGGTGAAAAATCAAAGCAACTCTAATCAAATCTAAGCAACACCTAAAAGGTCCATCTAAAATTGAATGCTTCACCTCGGCAACGTTTGATAGTTTTTCTAGGAGGCTCATGCCTTTTCTTCAAGCTATATCCTTGCGAAACTCAGGCACTCTAAGAACGCAAGTTTCACGAGGAGTGCACTGCACTTTGCTAATAACTTTTTGCAGAAGGAAGTTGTTTTTTTTTTGGGTGATTGCTTCAAGAAGTTTCAAAAGATCTGCCTTACAAGCTTGCAAAACTGCTTCGAAAGTGGTGAAGGCTCTTATCAGAAGCTGTGTATTATGATTATCGACTCAGAACTTAGGATATAGCTGCTCATATTTTTAAACATTGAGTTTTCTTTTTTTTTCAATTGCAAGTTAAAGATATTGGTTTGAATCAAAATTTGTCCAACTGATCACGTGCGAAACTGATTCACCAATGAAGATATTTTTCTCAATAGAGTGATGAAGCTTTTGGCATTTTTTTTGGTACTTTTCAAAATGAAAGCTTTCGGAAATCTCGAACTTTTTAATCGGCGGTTAACTACAAGTTGAAGTTGTTCTACAAAACTAGTATTGCCTTTGCTGCGATTTTTTCGAGCGTAGGTGCCATATTATTCAACTTATATACTGATCGAGGAGAGTGAATGTTACTAAGAACTTCTAAGCTGTTTAAGCAGTTTACATGTTTGTTTTATTTTACTTCATTTCATATTAATTATAAGCTGTTGACATATTTGTTTTGTTTTACTTCATTTTATACTATTTACATCATCATTTTTATTATTATAGATTTAAATGTTACCTTATTTTATAATGGTATGTAATTAGTACATTTCTCCTTCTGCTGATTACTGTCTGCAATAAGAAATGAATGTCTTCTGAATCGCTTGAACCAAATAGTTATAGAAAAAAAAGCGAGAAAAATTCAAATCAATAAAATGAAAATATAGTCTATGAATGTTGAGCAAGTAGCGCACTAATAATTGCACCACTTATCTACACACTGGAACATGTGCTTTTGCTCCCCAAAAATGAACATTGAAAAAAGTCTTTTTTAGCTTGTAGTAAAATAACAACGTCCTCAGAAAACTTCATTAATAGTTTTTCCTTCCTAGCATTCCTCGCCTCTATTTGAGTTTTGAGTAAATTTTTGATTCCAAAAGAAAGACAGAAAGGTTTTTTAATTTGGAAAGAACCGAGCTTCATCAAATTACGAATTACAACCGGATTAAAACAGAACAATTAATATAAGTACTCTTTTGCGTCAGTTTGAGAGATCTCAGAGGTAGGTCTTGGTTTTCGCCCGTGCTGGCGTAACTCAATAGGAAGCGATGAGTTACGTACAATGTCATCAAGTTCGTCTCTTTCACTCTGCTTTAGTAATTTCATATGTCTTGAAAGAAAGCAAGCAAAACTCATTGTTTGTATTCTTCTGCTGCCAAAAACGGCAATTCTATGACCAAATAACTAAGTTCATATGGAAAAGCATTCCTTTTACTTGCCGTACCCAACGGAGGCTGTTGTTCTAGATAGAAAAGTTATATAGATTATCTGGCCAAACTTTCTCGCATTTCCTGTACAGAAATGATCTATTTCTTTTCATAGTTTAGAAATAAACAACTTCTGGGAAGAAATAAACAAGAATCAGCTCAACCGCTACGAGATAAACATGTTTCTCGAGTATACACAAGAGCCGTTGCAATATAATGCAAATTAACTGAAGGTTGCTATAACAATTTGAAAGTATCAGGTCATGTTGCCTAGCGGTTAGCGCAACCGTTTATCCAATGGCAGGTTGGGGTTTTTATTCCCATCAGAAGACTTTTTTCTAGCTAGAAATAGCCTAGATTCAGCTAATTTCTGACCAGAAATCAGATGAAAGAGAGAAAGACGTAATTTTCATAAATGCGCAAAAGGTTGATACCTATGCATTACAGAAAAACGTAATCGATTGAACAGGGTTTGATAAGTATGAGAATTAAATGACAATTCAATATAATAAATTTCTGAAATAAAGAATCTTAAGATAATTGAGAAACAAATCTTAAGATGAATCTTACGAAATTTACGAAAAAAGAATCTTAGGAATATCCCTGCTTTATTTAAATTTTTCATAAAGAGATTCTGAACAGAAATTATTATTACAGATAAAGTAGTTCAGGTCAGAAATGAAGACTTGTTTTGGTACGCGTTGTAAGACATCGATATAGAATTGAAGAATTTTCAGTGAGACCTGTTGTCAATTCGAAAAAACGTTTTTGCACTGATTTTAGTTTAGATCTGAAAAACATTCTTATCGAAGCCCAATATAACTGCTAATATAAAAAAAATCAACAGCTATAATATATGGGAAATTTATTGCTGCATAATCTAAATTAGTTGGTACTAAACGGTGAAGGGAGTCACTGAAGGTTAATGTTGGTAGTTGTTGTCCCATTGTGTTTACACTTTTAGTTCAATGAGATATTATTTTGCTGTTTTTTTTAAATTTGTTGACAGTTTTGAGTAAGTTAACAGTTTTGAATTTAGATTTAAGCATAATATTTGCATTCAGATTTTTTTATCCACATAATGATCATTTATGATACGACCATCTGTTTCTGACAAAAAGTTGTAAATTCTGATTTCGATGCATTCAAATTTAGCTGGTTCTCTTCTGTGCAGTTTAATATGGTAGTTAATTAACTTGATATTTGAAATAAAACTTCGATTGATACTTTTGTAACTAGACTCTGAAATAAAACTTCAAAATAATTGAAATGGTTTGTTTTGTATCAACTTTTCGGTAATCGCTAAAAAGTATAGTCTCATTGAGAAAAGTTATTTTGGCTCTTTTCCAGTTTCCCCCCTTCAAAATACCGAGTTTCATATTTGTTTTTCGTGTTATTACGGCTAAATGCGTGATTTTACGCTGTAAAGTATGAAGAACAAATCTGTTCAGAATTGTCGATTTGTTCACCACGCCAAGTTTCATTGCATTATGACAACGTTAAATAGACTTTTCAAAATTGAATTTGAAAGGGGGGGAACTGGGAAAGAGCCGTTATTTTCATTAACGTAAAGAAATCAAACAAAACTGCTCGTATCAGGGCGAAGCCCTCAATGTTCCGACTGCTTTTTAAGGTCTATGGAGCAGTAATAATATGAAAAATTTAAACGTAATCAAATAAAATTGAAATATTTAAAAAAAAATTGAAATGTTTTGTGAAAACATCCCCCCACACGTCATAATACGTACAAAGTGATAGGTTTTGCTCCTATTAATAAATCAATTATGGCATATAAGCTTCCTTGGACCAATTTGGAACAATTTCTAAGAAGGATTAAATCTCGCTTACTCGTTAATAGCGCGAAATATATCGCGCGTTAATTGTCACAAAATGGCAATCTTTAAACCCCATAATTTTACAAAAAATGATCGCAGGTAAAATATCTTTTCAAATTCAAGCTCAAGACAACAATAGCTTTCGAATGATGTTAAAAATTCCGTCAAAAATGGCTAGTTAAAAAGTCGAAATTTGTCTGAAGAAAAAAACCCACCCCGAGCACAAATATTCCGTTACTTTCGTTACGAAAGTCGGAACAATAATATTTAAGCTGAAAGCTACACTGTTTATGGGGTTACCCTTTTCTCAATTGTTGGCACCATGTAAATCCGTCTAAAGTTCTATTGTAGAAAAGTGATTGAAGCCTTTTCTAATTTCCTTTTCATATTTCAAGGTTTGCTACGAGTGGTGTTAAACTTTTCTTGGTTGGGTGAAAAATCAAAGTCGCTGGTGTCAATTTGGTGGTAGAAAATTGATATTTGACTCTACACATGATGAAACGTAGCACCTATCCTTCAAAATTTGTGGGTTGAACTGCCAGCATGGTTCGATTTTTTGATCTCAGTGTTTCGCATTTTTTTCCAGTTCGAATATACAGTTTTTGGTCACCTAATCCACAAAATTTTCGGAATGATTTGTTTTCATGTTTAGAAGGTGTTGCAGCATTAGCTGAAATTTGGCTCTAATGCCGCAATTTTTTCAATTTTTTATTTGCTTCAGGTTAAGTACATTTTTCAGCTGAGCAATCGGACACAAGTTGCAGCAAAAGTAGCCCGTTGCTGTCCAAGTAGCGCAGAAGTGTTTTTAATTGTTTTCAAATATTTTGGGTTTCATATCTGTAAATTTGAGTTTAGTACTTTTTTATAGCATTCTATTTGTTTCAAAAAATAGTGCAACTTAAAAAAAGAAAAAAATGAGATTCTTCAGCGAGTCTCCGTTAAGTTGGTTCTGAATAGCATTACCAGATTTTCTCGATGAACATTTTTTTTGGAGTCTGAAGCACTACCGAAATCACTAATGTGATACCGTACTGACCCCGTACGATTTTCTCAAAGTTTTCAACATTTTCTTCATGAATCACAACCTGGTCAACTCAATTTCTATGAAAACCTTCCCTTCGTTTTCATCCACTTGAAGTTTTTTTTGAAATACCTCTTTTGGATTTCATTCACTTGAAGTACAATTAAGTGGTCAGGTGTAACCACATTTCTAATGACCTTTTAGAGTAGGAGTTAATAAAAATTGAGGGACTGAATTTTCTGAACCGATTACCCGTTATCTTAACAAAAATCCGATTTGATGTTAATTTTCAATCTAGAGTTCAGTCTTGTCACTTTTTCAGACTAATGGCATCAAATAGTAAAAGGCTTATTGGAAAAGTGTCTGTCATAACGGCTTCATCCGATGGTATTGGCTTCGCAATCGCAAAGAGGTTTCTCCAAGAGGGTTCCAAAGTTGTAATCAGCAGTCGCAAACAGCAAAATGTTGATTCAGCAGTTGAAAAATTGCACCAAGTTGCTGAAGAGAATCAGCTTCCGGCGTCTAATGTGATGGGAATGGTTTGTCACGTTGGAAAACAAGATCACAGGGAGAATCTTATTGAACAAACTGTGAATAAGTTCGGAGGATTGGACAATTTAGGGATCAATTTAATTGTTGCCTCTTGAAAAGAATGATGAAGTAAATTTACCACCGCAATTTTTTTTTCAATGGAAAAGAAAACGAATTTTAGTTTTTGTCAGATGCATAGGTGTGATTCTATTCTTTTTTTCCAATTTTCATTGATTCAAGAAAGTATTCTTTTTCGAGTATGTTTAACAATGAGTCACAGTCATAGGTTTTCGATTGATCTAATTGATTTAAACGGCAAATAGAAAGTATGTAATTAAAAAGACTTGATTGATCTGGATTTAAACATGGTGGATCTTAGTTGCTTTTCAGCGGCGTTAACTAAAATTGATCCCATTTTAGTAAGCAACGCAGCTGTTAGTCCAACATTTGGAAACATTTTCGACGTCGATGAAAAAGCTTTCGACAAAATTCTGGACACAAACGTTCAGTCTGGGTTCTTACTTTGCAAGCAAGCTATTCCTCACTTGAAAAAGTCTGGAAACGGTTCTATACTGTTTGTGTCATCAATAGGAGCTTATATGCCAATGCCAGGTATTGGAGCTTATTGTGTCTCCAAAACTGCTTTGTTAGGTTTGACGAAAACAATGGCAGCAGAACTGGCTCAATTTAATATCAGGGTGAACTGTTTGGCGCCTGGGCTGATTAAAACAAAGTTCAGTGACCCGCTACTTGATAACAGGTGAAATAATAGAGTAGTTGGGCTAGTAGCGATTTTTTTGTTCAATATTTAAGTATTTTCACTAGGATTTTTCATAGTAAGTCATGTTTGGAATGGACTCGCTCTTCTCCAGTTTATCGCCACCCCCCCCCCCCCCCCCCGTATAATTACAACATAAAGTTGTTTAAAAATTGTTCATACGGACGGCAATTTGCACGTATAAATTTTTTATAGGAATCTGTTCACTTGATCACGTTTTCATGCAGTTTAGAGCATCCGATGTTATTTCAAGTTGACTTTGGTAAAATGAGTTCCAAAAAATCAAAGATAAGGAAACTGTAAATTCAGGAAAATTCAGTAAGCATTTTGTATTTTTATAGTGACGTGAGAGATCAGTACTTGAATGTGATTCCGATGAGGCGAGTGGGAGACCCGGACGAGATGGGAGGACCGGCTGTGTTTCTGTGTTCCGATGATGCCTCGTATGTTACGGGAGAGACCCTAGTTGCTGCAGGCGGAATTAATTCAAGATTATGAGAAAATAAAAACTTTTCCTGCTAAGAAAACCTGGCGAAAAACGAAGTTTTGAATGGATTGCAAAGAAGACAGTTGGCAAAAAAGAATTGATCTGGAGTCACTAAACGAACTGAATCTGGAATAAAATGGAGATTGTGATTGCTTGATAAACTCCTTTTGATTTTCGCGTTTAAATTTTAATTGTTTACCAGCACTGCCTTTAGTTCTATCTGTAGTTGAAATCGTACGTTTAATATACTTATGAACATTGTTCAAATTTGTAAATACATGTTTCTTAACGCGTTTCAATGAAAGATCAATAAAAACTTGAACTTAAGTTATGAAGATGATTCAATGACATAGATAGATAGTTTAAATAGTTATGGTTTCGATCACCAAATCAGGGACCACGAATAACGGTCAGATAGGGTTGATTGATATATCATATTAGAGCCGTTTTAATTGTAATTTGATTGACTTAAAGAAAAATCTAAAATGGTTTCTCAATGTTGAGAATTACCCATGTGAACTTTTGAGTTCTTAGTTTTGAATCTAGTAAAAAATGATGCTGGTGAAAATTAGTTTCTCCAACTGAAAGGCGTCACATTTCATTGATAATGTTTGGCTCTTCAATCGCAATTCTCAGTTTTTGAAAAACATGATTTTGACTTTTGTGAAAAAATGTGTGCCTTTTTTGCTTAAAAATCTGAAGCCAAACTTAAATACAAATGAAAGAAATTTTTTCAAATAATGCCACGCGAGATCAAAAATAAGCAAAAATGGCCGGATGCAATAGAAGTATCGCAAAAGATTATAAAGAGAACGCAAAAAAAATATTAGAAAGAATCGCGATTGTATGCTTGTTTGTTGTAGGCTTGCTTTCAGTGTCATCACAACAGGCAAAATGTCATAACTTAAAAAACTCAGTTTGATTTTGCCGCAAAAAAACTGATCGGAAGCTTCGGTGCTACTTGTACCGGCTAATCTTGTTACATGTAGTTAACAGATTTTATGCATTCATTAATATGTTTTTAAATTGTCTTTTGGTCTTAAGGATTTTTGACAAACATCGAAGGAGTTGCGTGAAGAGCAGGATTCAAATGTAACGTTATTCATCGCATTCGTATGCGTTAAAATTGAAAAGCAAAACTAATTGACGCATCATGTTATTTTATTTAACACATGATTATCTTCGTATTTTGCTATTTAATCCTCATTGTGAAACATTATGCATTCAAATGAGGCAGAATTCTCTAACTATTTCAGTTGAAGCACGGTTAAGAGTTATGAGTTTTTATTGTTAGGGTTCTTGTGCTTATTGCTAATAAGATTCACACTTTCGCGTAATTTTTAATTTTTTGAGTATTTCTGGGCGTCTTGAGCACCTCAGAGCTTACGCTATTTCACTATTTGGATTGAAGATAGAGTTAATTGGTTAAAACAACTTTTCTGACAATCCTGATGAATCACGAATAGTTGCAAAAAAATAGTTCGAAATTTTCAATTTGAAAAAAGCTCTTCCTAACAAAATGATTTTAAAAAAACGGATCCCTTACAATGTTAAGTCATCGAACAGTGCCATTTCTTTAATGGGTTAGAGTGTAAAAATTAACTGATTTTGATGCAAATGAATAAATTTTGGTCCATTAAAAATCAGCTTTTTTTGTGTTCTTGTAATAATTTTGTTAGTCATCATGGGTACTGTCAGGCGCGGATTTAGGGAGGGGGGAGGGAGGGATTCGACCACCTGCCAAACCAAAGAGTCCACCCTTTGGTTCTTTTTAACAAACCATTTTTGGCCGACCGACCCTAAAATTTTACTAAAGGCGCCTTGGGCGCCAATATATACTAACTTTGATGGGGTCCGCGCGCCAAAAAAAGGCATTTTTTTGTCATAATTTTCCAAAAAGTGCCCAAAAAAACTTTTTTGACCTGTTTTATCTTTTTTACTGCTTTAGGAGAACTCGGAAAATCAATTTGGCCGATCGTTAAAAAAAAGGTAAATTTTTCGAATTTTTTTAAAAATCCGCCCCCCCCCCCCTTCGAGAAAATCCTAGATCCGCCCCTGGGAACTGCAACGATAAAAAGAACCGTTTTCCGTCCGTTCCAGTAGTATTTTCATCGTTTTACATTTAAAATTCCGAATTCAATTATTTCCATAATTAATTATGCAAAAACTATTCACAGGGAAAAATTTGAAATTCACAATCTCGGACAACTTGAAGGCTTTGTAAACTCCGATTTTTATTATAGGAAATTTTAATTTTTTCTTTTCGGGCAAAAACATTTTGAAGCATTACGAGGACAAACTGCAGTTTTTTTTTATTTTCCGCAGTTTCGTCAAAAATCCTAAAAACAGATTCGTCGCGGGATCCGTAGCATGCCTATTTTTTGATGCGTTTGCTAAATTTTCCTCGAAAAAAAATAGCTAAAACAAACCTTCGCTCAAAATTTTTCCAAAAGCAGTTAAGTTTGCAGAATCCAAAACTTTTTATATATTTATTGACGTGTGGAAATAGCAATTTATCCGAACCGGCTTGCTTACATTAGCGCAACTGAGAACAACTAGATATTTTTGCTGTTTCCAAAATCCGCGACGCAGCTTAGGTTCCAGCAAAACTTAGATTACAAAGTGTTTGGGCGCGGAATTCGTAGAATTTTTGCAGGTGGAACCTACTTTCATTTTGCAACATGTTTAAAGACTTGTGCCTAAGTTCCAATGACTTACACACAACAAAACGTGGACCTATGCAGTGCACAGTTTGGCCTCTTAATCAATTATATTTTTTCAGAGAGAATTTTTGAATTTTTGTCCGAACATTTCTGTTTCAAACCTAAAACATGTTATCACCTTTGACATTGTACAGGAGGTTTGATATAATTGATAATTGCATTTTTTGCTCTTGGTAGTGCTGTTCTTGCCAGTAAAGCGCGTTAAAATGTTGCTGGTCAAAATTATCTCTGAATCGTTTGATTTGAGTTTTTTTCCGGCCAGAAGCTTTCGAGAATTTTGCACTCGGATGTGTTTTTAGAAACAAAAAAAAACTTAAAAGTCATAGGTACCGTCGCATGCATGTGTTTGAGTGATATATTTTTTCTCGTAGCAAACTTCACTGGTCATTTGGGCTATTGAAGGTTTTCCGAAGCAGTTCCTCGATGTCGGGTGAAACTAGACTGCAATTATTGATCATGTACAAAATAAAGCAAAACTAAAATTATGTCTAAATTTTATCCCCTTTTCGCCCTGAAACAAGCAAAAAAGTTTAAAACATTTTTCCGACTTTTGAAGACAGACGAATTATTGGTGATCTGGGCGGTGTTTTTTTCTCCAGATAGTTTTCGACTTTTTTAATTAGCAATTTGCGGCAAGTTTGCTTGAAGCACCTGAAAGATAATGTCAAAATCTCAAAAGTTAACGGAAATTGCACAATTTGTGGGCAATCGACTTTGACCACTATATTTCAATTTGAGAAATTGATGCTATATGAACAGGCAATTTGATTGTAAGAGGTAAATTCAATCTTTCGTTAATTAATTGAGGAAAACTTTTTGCTCTTATTATTACATTATCAGTCACTATTTAAAATCATTTTGTACTTTGCATGCCGGGAGGGGTTTCAATCAAAAAACAAACTTTCTTTTCTTTTTTGGCCAATTTTTCAACATTTTTTGAAACCAAATTTCTTTTCATCGACAATAAATGGCAGTCGGAACGTTCAGGGCTTTTACCTGATATTAACAGTTTTATTTGTTTGCTAATGAAGAAAAATGAGTAAAATTGAATCAAAGTTTGAGTTTTTATATTGAAAAACGATCAAAGATGCAGACGCAATCGCTTAAGCTTTCATTTTCCCCTTTTTTACGTAAAAAGCGCATGGAATTTGTTCGCCTTATCTTGCATGTTATTTTTTCAACATCAATATCTTACTGATTACTTCGGCAGTATTTTGGAAGTGTTCTTTTTCGCTTTGATTAAAAGAGAATCAAAGGGGCCAATTTGGGTTTCTCAGCAGTCAATTAGTGGTGGGTTTGGACAGCAAGTGACTTTCAGCCCCTATTCAAAGTCTTTTTTTTCCATCTTTTATCTCAATCCGTATTCCATTTAATGCATTGTAGATGTGATAAAAAAAGACTAGACAACTGAAAGGGCAATAAGCTCACATGAGACTCAATTGTGATAAAAGATAAACGTTCAAATAGAAGTGTTTAAACAGTATAGTATTTACGACCAAATGTATTTCTTCAAGTTTAAATGATTTGAGCCTCTGCAGCAAAAATTGATGTCAAAACTTCCAACTGCCTAAAATTTACAGTGCCTGAACTCGTTTATTTCTAATTGAAAAACTTATTCGAAATATAATTTTAAGTGTAATTCAAAACAAAACGTTTGCAAATTTTTTTAAATTTTTCTGAATTATCATCTTGTAAGAGTTGATAGAACATAAACTAACTTATCATGCATTTACCAAATGCAGCTGAGCTAAAAACTTTTAAAATTTTTATTTAAGCACAGTTTCATCAATTTTTTTTTAAAGCAAACACTACTCCATAGAATTGAAAGGGCAGTCGGAACAATCAGGGCTTCGCCCTGATACAAGCAGTCTTGTTCTTTTGAGTATTGCTCGGTCGCGGAATTCACATTTTGTAAGCAAAACCCGAAAAAAAAGCTTGATTCCGCATCTGTTTTGAACCTGTTCTTATTTTCCGAGTCTAACTTGTTCTCCGAGTCTTAGGGTCATACACCCAACAAAACGATGCACTTATCCAAACTACATTTTGGCCGGATAATGGTATACGCTACATAGAAAGTGAAATAGCAAAACAATACTTGAATTCGCTTTTTTCCCTTCACTTCACATTTTTGATGAGGTAATGCGTGAAGAACAAATATAATTGAAATAGCCAAATTAGCCACCAAGGAAAATTTTATAAAAATTGGACAAATTGTTTAAGGCTCAAATTATATCAGACAGTTCAATGAAAAGTAATTTAACCGCTCAACTGAAATGCATTTTTTACTGCATCCGAATTACTTTTCATCCAAGAAAGCATCAAAGTCTTTTGCATGCTTTCCTGTGATTTTGCTTAATTATCAAAAATCCTTTTTGCGTTTGTGTGCATTAAATATCAATATTTTTTGCTTAGCATAACGTTCACACAGGATTTCAAAAATGTTGCCATTAATGAAGTCAGATATAGTCTCTACCTAGAATATTGCAAATTTATAAGTATAATTTTCCTAACTTTTTTCCCTATATCAAATTTAAAGCAAAAAAATGACATACCCGCATCTAGTTTCAAAGGTTAATAATCAACTATATTACGATTTTGGTACCAGTCTTTTAACAATCGCTTTTAATCAATTAATAATCGATTATAATCTCTCTTTTTGAAGTCCAATTATAATGAATTTTAATACTTATTAATCGATTATTTATTTGTCTATTTTTCGATACAATTATAATCAATTATAATTGATTATAATCCATTGTTTTTATTCCAATTTCTAAATCATTAGTTTTACACAAAAATCCATTATAATCGACTATAATTGATTATAATCCCTTTTGCTTGTCTATTGTATCTTCGAAGTTGCATATAAATTGCTTAGATTTTATGCTTTTTGTAGACGTTGGTTCCTGTGAAAACTGAGAAAAATGTGTTTTTAAAGTTTTCAATTCAGTTTTTCATTTCTTCCCCAAAAAAGTTGTTTTGGGATGCACATTTTAAAGTTCTTTAACCACCAAAACATCAGCTAATTGGTTTAGTTTCATGATTGATTCGGAAGATTTATTTTTCATCTGCCGCGGAAATATTTCCACTAATAGGAAAGGATCTCTGTGAAACTTCTGTTTCGTGGTAAAACTTTGTGTTCAGATGAACCAAAGTGTTCAAGAGATCTCTTCTTCAGAAGTTTTGTTATTGACACAAAGTTATTAACCCACAAGATATAATTCGAATATTGTTTTGATTTGACACAATAAGAGATTATAATCTATTATAATCAAAAATAACTGATTTTGAGAGTTTTTTTTGTAAGAACTATAATCAATTAGAATCGATTTTAAGAGATTATTAGCTCATGGAAACTATCACGATTGTAATCAATTGTAAATCCTTTAAACATCTAATTTTGGTAACTATAATCAAATATAATTGTCAAAAAAAACATCATAACAACCGTTATAATCGATTACTTACGCCTAAACTTGGTTGCGGGTACTCTAGGATTTTAAAAAAAAGTAGTTCTTCATGCTTCCCCAACAAAGCATTTGCAACTCTACCCCACCAAATATAAAACATCACAAACTAGAATTTAGTGTTTGAATTTATGTTAAAATATCATTGTGATGATTAACCAGTTGTTTTTGGTTGTTTTGAGTAATTAATTGATGTCGTTATGTTTTTGGCATAACAATCGCTGATTTTGACTTTTTATGTTTCTTAATGTCACTTTTTTGTTTCTCTTCTAGATATCTTTAAAACTGATAAAATTTTGGTTTATAGCGTGATTACAGTAGCAAATCGGCGAGCGTACCGTTATATTTTGAATCCGTTTTTTCTAATCCAACTCGTGGGCCAGCTGTTTAAAATTTTAGTACGGTTGCGGAAAATTTTAAACTTAAAAAAGGCCAAAGAAGTCTCAAAAAATTAATTATGTAACTATGCATTGATACAAAAATAATCGGCACCGTGCTGGCTTTGGAAAAGTTTTAGTGGCAGTCAGCCACTAATAGATCTCTCAAAATAAAGCAAAAGAGGGCCCGAAGAGGTCGATTTTCTCAAGTGAAGTGTCCGCCATCGCCCTTCCAACCCCCCCCCCCCCCCTAAATCCGCTGCTGCTTCTCAATGTTTACTAAAGAATTTCATTTTTTTAAACTCACAGTCGAGGCTGCTCATCGCAAACACAAGAAAATTCTAAATGTGGCTTTTGAAGGTATCTAAGTAAAATAAGAAAAAAAGGCAAAAAAAGTCTCATTTTACTTAAAAGAATATAGGAGTCACATGAAGAATTTTCTTGTGTTTGCGATGTGAAGCCTCGACTCTGAGTTTAAAAATTGAAGTGAAGTGCTTACATGTATGAATATTGAGAAGCAGCAGCGGATTTAGAGGATGGAAGGGCAAGGGCGGACACTTTTCGTCAGGAATTAGTCTCCCTGCCGACCCAAAGGGTCCCCTTTTGCATTATTTTGAGATATTTATTTGTGACTGATTACCCCCTTAAGTTTTTCTAAAGGCGCCACGGTGCCGACATTTACTAACTTTGAGGGGGGAGCGCGCGCCAAAAATTTTTTGGTGAAAAGTTTCATAAAAGTACCTAAAAACGCCTGATATGGCCGGTTTTTTTTCAAAAAATTGATTGTAGCGCAGAATTATTGGTCAAAATAGGGTCTTAAGAGTGATTTGGCAGAGCTCAAAATATCATTTTGAATTAAAGGTCGATAAAAATTTTTCAAAATTTTTGAAAATCCACACTCCCCACTCATCAAGAAAATCCTAGATGCGCACCTGTTGATAAGTTTTTTTTTACTGTTTCTGATATTTCGTGGGAAAGCAATTCGGAGGAAAAACTTTTGTCTGTGTTAGATCTTGTCTGCCATCTTGTCTGTTTGATCTTGCTCATCCATTTTTTAAAAAAAAATTCTACGTGATTGTTAAAATTGGATAAAAACTTTACTCGATTTTTTCAATGATTTCGGATAGTTTATCTTGTTTTCTTTATGAAAAACTAGTTATCTTGAGGTCGCAATATCCTTCTCAGGAATTTTAGCTGCTCTTGTACGTTCTGCGAATTGCAGTGAACTTTTCTGATTCAGGAATCGGAGCTTTTGTTTTTCTTTCTGTATGGCATGTGAATCAACTTTTGGTTTTTAGTTTTTCTGCATCAAAATTGAAGCGAAGAAGTGCGGCTTTGCATCTGTGTAATACTAGCTTTCATTTTTGTCCTATAAGCGGTCGATTTGAAATGGATGTTCTTATAATCACGATAATGAATTTATCTCACACAACTCCTTGCAAAAAAAAACAATCTTTTGGAGGGTAAAAATTGAATTAACTTACGTTTCTTGAAGTTGCACAATCTTGCAGATCAATTTTTTTTATCTGTGAAGTGCGGGTTGAATAAATATATCCTATGCTTTGCAGGCTTTCTCCTTTTTCTTATTTTTGATGGCACTGACGATCTTCAAACAGATTAATTGGTTCATTTCGTTCTTACCATTTCTACCAGTTACCTTGTTTTTAGCAATCATCAGTGACTAGATCGAATTACATACATATAGTATTACATTTCTAGTCATTCTTTTTAGCTCCGAGCATATTCTTTTCCGGATTTTGTTCAATATTTTACGCCTAATTCTGTACTGCTGTTTCTTTTATTTTCTGTTCAGGTGTCAAATAGGTATTATATGACTGTTAAAATAGACGAACAGGATTTTGTGATGTTTGCTGTTGGAACATAGTACTAAAAGAAATTATAAAAGGGAACTTTCTTCCTTACATTCAATGAAGTTTCTATAATCTAATAAAATTACCGACTTATATCATATTTCATTTGTGTTTATTTTTGCCCGAAAACTGAAAAAGTTTTACATTCGTATTTTCAGTAGAATCAATTTCTTGCTGCAAAAGTTTTCAGAAAAAAATATTATTTATTATTTTATGCAGCAAAACTTAGCGCTCCCAAATTAGAAATTCCTGTAATTCTGGATTGCAGCTACTATTTTTTTATCGTCCATGATTGTTGATAATCGGTAAGTCACCTAGCAATCAGAGACTCAAACTACTATGTGTGTTTATTAAAAGATCTTCCAGTCAAAATTTAATAAAATTCTTTGACTTATCAAGCGCGTTCTTTGGATCAATTGAGCAATCTCCCACCCATTCTCGCGTGGGGGGGGGGGGGGGGGGGGTTGAGCTTAAAAGGTACTTGAAAAATGTCTATGAACACTCCAAAAACTACAATATCCGAGCTCAAAATTTTCATTCAAAGTGAAAAAAACAATCAATTAAACTGAGGCATAGAAAGCGACTTTTTTCTCTCTTCAAAGGAAAAAAGCTATTGCGTACAATATTAAGGTGCTGCGAAGAACAGTTTTTGCTATTCAGATTCAAGGCTAGAGCACCAACCCTGGTCACCCAAACAAAAATTAGCAAAAGAAAAAAACGATTTTTTTTCTTCTTTTTTTTCAAAACTTTTCTCGATACTCATATAAAATAAACTTCAGTCGGTCAATTGATTGCGTGCAACGGACACATCAACCATCTACCATCTACTTGCGTTTGCTGACGTTTTTTTAGCGTTTTACCGTTTTTGATTGGGGGAGATAGCTCAATTGGTCATTACGGGGGGAGATTCCTCAATTGATCCTGGTTTTTTTTTCAAAAGAACTCGTTTAGTTGATTTGATCTTTGGAAAGAAAAATTGAAACATTGGCGCAACTGCTGTGAGCAACAGTGTCTATTCTACTAAAATACTTTCTAAAAACGATCCCGGCAATCCCAATTCCTCAAAAAGTAGTCATGTAAAAAATTGCACGAGTAATGAGAAAATTTTGAAATTTTTGAGTTACATTCTAAATTTGAGCGAGTAAAGCGATCAAATACCGTCATTACCTGAAAGGTGTAGGCTATCGAAACTCAATTTTACTCATTTAAAAGCTTTTTAGTGGACCCTATGCCAAAATTGTGCTTAATTTAGCGATATTTGGACAAAAACTTTTTCCAAAACTTCTTTAAAATTATTGTGAAATAAAAAAGTAGTATTTTTTTGGCTTTTTCCATTTTTTTGCTTAAAATTTTTAAACAACTGATGTCGACTATGCTTATTTACTAATTTTCTACCCGTTTATATAGTTTTCTCAGTTGTTGGTTCACATCATCTACAAGCAACAAATACAATTTAAAAAAAAATTATGTAATTTTTATAAATATAGTCTGAACATTCTATGCCAATTGCACAGAAACTTGCTATCCTTGTTTGTTTCTACGGTTCAGTTTTGCGATTTTTCTTTGAAAAAAAGTCCTTTTAACCGATGCAAAAATTTAATTTTCAGTTTTATTTTTAGGTTCCGCACTGGAGTTCCAAGCGTAAAATACTACCGTCCCCACTCACGTTCTGTTTTTTTTCTTAAATTTACTTCCTTACTTTCACCAAAAGTGATTTGGTACGAGGGCTGAAGTTTGATGCTTAACATAGGGAGGGGAATGGAAAGATAACTTGTTAGAGAAAAAAAAAGATTTTACCCGGCCCCACCACCGAAATAAAACGCATGGGACCGGCTTGCAAAAATAATGTGGTAAAAGGCCTGCAAAAAAAAACTTAACGTGCAGAGATAAGCTTAACGTGAGTGGTAAGGGTTTTGTTTTTCTGATATTGCAGCTGCGCCTCTGTGCTTAACTAACAATGGAAACCTATTCAAACAAAAGACAAAATTCCCAAAAAATTAAGACAATCAACCAACCACATTTACTCCAGATTTATTGCGTTTAGCATCCCTTTCGCGATATGTTTACATCCCTCTGCTTACTACTGTAACTCCTCAAAAAACCAAATGGATACGGGGATTGAACTTGACGCTTACTTTTACATTCTGCAATTGCTTAGAAACCTAGGGGCTACTAGCGCGCGTAATGTCATCAAACTACGGCAAAGACAACGCAGCCCGTTCCGCAAACCTTGGGAGAGTCTCTAGGAACTTCACTCTGGAAACAAAACTTCTTGTGCTTCAATTTGAAATAGGTTAAAGCACAGATATGATCACATCTCTCGTAATGCGCCATTCCTGTTGTTCCATTCATGGATTTCGGCAAGCCTCGCACAACGTTAAAATTCAACTGGTCAAAAGTTAGAGATTCTGATAAACGGCTTCAATTTGAGGGAATCTTTCTTCACTCAACAGCCCGAAGTGAGTTTGCGTGCCAAAGTCGATCAATATGTTTACACATTTAGTGTTACGCAGTTTGTGAAAGACAATTTGAGCGTTGCATGCGAAAGCGACGATGCTCCCCTCCTATTGTGCAAGATAAGTTTCTGCATCTGCAGCCAAAAGAAAGTACTTTCTACAATAACTCCAACATTGAAATGATTTTGGGGCAGGATGTTTTTGATGCAATCAAGCTTCTCGAACACTTTCACGGAAGAAATCAAAATACTAGTTCGGCTGTTCGTCTGCCTATTGGCTGAGTTGTCAGTGGCAATGGGCAATGTTGAAGATGGAGCACTTGCCGACCAAGAGAAGAAGTGGTTCGCGCTAGATTAGTATGGGACGTTTAAACAAGCTGATGAACATTCTGCGGCTGATAAACTTGCTCGTTATGATAACTCTTGATATAAAATCTTCATTTTACCACGTTTCACGTGGAAATGATACATTGTCGGGATGCTCTGAGCTTAAGACAATTTTCATCTTCCACATAACTTGTACGAATCGTTGGTCCAATTTAATTTTCTTGCAAAGCATCGTGGGAAACAATTAAACCTGAAAATTATTACGCATCGGATATTTGTGGTGATTCAGAGGAGAATTCCGTAGTCACAAAACTCATAAAACCATTCGCCGAGAATGGTACGTTCCAAACCACCCAATTTTGTATCCGTAAAAATCTGGCATTTTTTAGCAAGTTTTGAACAGTGGGTCCAAATTTTACGGCAAATGCTCAATATCTCGCTTCTTGTTGGCTCCGATCTGCTGATATTTTGTCATTCGTTGTATTTCTCTTCAAAAAAACATAAATAAGCAGTTTCCGCAGACATTGAAAGCATTTTTGTGCTAATCGTATTAATAGAATGCGATCAAAGTTTCTTGCGTATTTTGTCGCGCCAGGATCCAACATCGGATGTGAGTGTTTTTTAATATACCAGGCATGTATCTGGAGCAAAAGATTCTCCGACTTAAGTTATTTGTGCTCTTTGCCGTTATCGCGAAGTCGCTTACGCCATGCTAAATACCTATTAGATAGATGATTACCTTGGCTTCGTGAAAAATTCAGACGAAGCTCTGAAATTAAAACGCAGTTTGGTTGAACCTCTTAAGCAGGTGTATTCAATCTGACAAAGGTTGTTAGTATTGTTCTCGATATGTTCTTGAAATTAAATCCCACTAAAACGGGCGCTAGCAACTCTGAAGAAAATTGTACCGCTCAATTGCGACCACGTCACCGATACAGTGGCTGTGAGCAGAGTAGTTAACCGCGAACTCAATGAATCTATTACATTGCAAACTATTCTTATTTTTTGTCGTCTGTGTTCGAGCCAATAGGTTTTTTCGCTCCGTATAACGTACGTGCACGGTATTTAGCGATTGAGTGGTTAACAGTGGGATGTCCCACTGCCAAAAGAATTGTACCGCAGATTCAAAAAAACGGCAATCCAGTTTTCTACTTTTAGAGAAGCTCACAATTTCTCGCTGTTGTTTTTTTTGATTTGCAATAGAATTAGTTAAACACACATGTTCGTTGCTAGCTTAATTGACGTTTTTCTGTTCTGTAGCAGTCCGCGCTCAAAAAAATGCCTAGTCTAAATGTCAACTTGCCTTCGAGTTCGGCACAGCAAGAGTAACCAGTGAAGATGCATTCAATTGCAAATCAGAAACTTCAAGCTTCGCTTCTCGCTACTTGTCTGGAAGATGATATCAAAGAAGCTTTGACACTCAGCACTTTTAAATTTTTCATGTGAACTGACAGCACTAAAGTCGTTCAGTGGTCGTACTTGATCGGCCGTGTTTGTGGCCAATCGATTAGACGAAATTCTGGAGTCGACACTAGTTGAACAATGTTTCCATGTTTTGAGCGGAGAAAATTCCGCTGACACAGAAACCCTAGACGTTACTGCCCTGCTGACTTCCTCAAGCAAGGCAGTTGGTTCAAATACCTTTCTTTTTTGAAAACTTTAACATGGAGTTTCAAGCCAAATAGGGAAATTTCTGAGAAAAAATTGCCTAGGTGGTTCGGTCTACGATCTGAATGAGGTGTTGAGATCTGTTAAATCTTTCCCCTCACTGCAGTTTCGATTGACTTTGCTCTCGTTTTCGGAGGAGTATACCTTGTTCTCGAAGATATGGCCATAACTGATCCAGCAGAAATTGTCATCGCAGAGGCAAAACTTTGCTTTTTTGCCCTCGGAGTCGTTCTCAGCAGAATATGAGCAATTAGCTGGAAGAAAGCGAGTCAAAAGGTCGAGCCGTATTTAATCGTCCTTGCCTTTCATCAAATTGATCTAGATCTATTTGATTAGATCTACCGGCCGCATCCAACGTTTTTTCGCAATCGCGTTCATAACTAGAGAACCAACAATTTTGGATAGCAGCCACAGCTTAGTCCGACCGTTTCTCCGTACTCAAACATTGGGGTCGACCTTTTCAAATTTCGTTTTGTAAGCTTTGCCGATCTTTGGAGAAACGCTGGAGTTTTCTATTTACTTGTTTTACAAATCAAATGGTGTTGGTTCCATGATAAGTTCTTGTGTGATGGCTATCGAGCGCTTTTTTTTAAGCGAGGAACACTCGATAGTCTGGTCGAACAATTTGGTTGGACAATTGTAGGAGCCAAAAAAGAGCTTCTTCTGTGCATCAAAACTTGGAACGCAGAAGCTCAATTGTCACTCGTGCACAAAAGTTTTAAGTGGAAGAATAGTCTACTTAGTGCGCCAATCCAGGGTGGAGCATAGGAGCGATTGGTGAACAGTTGTAAGCGCAGCTTCTATGAAATCTTAGGGTCAATAAAAGTGACTGACGAGGTTTTGATTACAACCATA